CCATTTAGAGGAAAAGAAAAGAAGCCCGTATAACTGGGGCAGAGTGGTAGGAGGTGCAGTCAGAGAGCCCGGATTGCTCTACAGACCCCTGTAAAAAGTTCGGGTTTATCCTAAGACCAGTGAGAAGACACAGGAAGGACTATATAGTGAGGGAAAGATGTGATCTGATTCGGTGTTTACAATACTCACTCTGGCTGCAGCTGCAAAGCGATTGCAGGGGACAAGAGTAGAAGCAGGGAGACTACTACTCATATAAGAATCCAGGTGACGAATGACCATCATTGGGATGAGGGAAATGAAGGAATTCAGCAAATGTTCTGGAGAGAAAACTAACAGAATCTGCCTCGGATGTAGTGGATTTGAGGGCGAAGAGAAGAAAGAGGAATCAGGGAGAACTAATAGATTTTTTTTTTTGGCTTGAGCAACTGGATGCTATCTTCTGGAAGCATCCAGTTGGAAGACTGAGGGAGGAACAAGACTGTGAGAAAAATCAAGACTTCTGTCTCTAAGCATATTACATTTGAGATGCCTGTGATATATCCAAATGGAGATGTCCAGTAGCCAGCTGAACACATGAGTGTGGGCCTCAGGAGAAAGAGCAGAGCTGGAATATATAAATTTAGGAGACAGCAGCATAGAGAATCTATTTAAAGCCATGAGTGTAGATATGACCATGTAGGGGGGAAAAGTGTAAATAAAGAGAAAAAGGGTCAGCATGGAGCCCTTTAGAGCTCAGGAAAACAGGGAGGACTCAGCAAATGAGAGATGAAGCAACCAGTCAGGTAGGTGATAAACTGGGAGACTGTGATGTCATAGAGGCCAAGAGAAATAGGTATGTTTCAAGAAGGGAGTGGCCAAATGTCTTAAATGCTGCCAAGAGGTCAAATAAGATAATAATCCTAACACTACTACTAATAATGGCTAATATCTACTAAGTACTTACCATGTACCACAGTCTGTTCTAAATGCTTCACAGGTATTAATTCATGTAATCTTCTTAACAACCCTAACAATAGAGAAGGAACCATTGGATTTGGTGACATAGAGGCTGAATGAGAGCTCTTTCATTCAACAATAATTGCTAAATCCTGACTTGTTCCAGCACTGCTTGAGGCATTGTGGATGAAACAGTGGAGAAGACAAAGGTTCTGCCCTCTGAGAGCTTAATGTAAACAGTAAACAAACAGATACATAACAGTCAGATTAAGTGTTTTAAAGAAAATGAGTAGGCCAAAGAGTGTTCTTTTCACAGAAGTGACAAATACTGGAGGGAAGAGTATCCTGGCAAAGGAAAAAGCAAGTGAAACGATTGTGAGGTGGGAGCAAGGAGGCCCACATGGCTGGAGAGTAGAAATGGTAGGGACATGAGTTTGGGGAGGCAGGCAGGGGCCAGATCATGTGGGGCCTTATAGGCCTGCCAAGGATTTTAGATTACAAATTACTTGGGATGAGAACCCCCTCTGGAGAGGTGAGAGCAGGAGAGTTGCATGTAATGTATGTTCTAAGGGATCCCTGTGACCACTATACGAACAATGAATGGGAGTAGGGTGTGATGGGGAAAGAGTGGAAGCAAGAGCCAAACTGGAAGTGACTGCAGTGGACCAAGCAAGAGAAGACAGTGGCATAGAAAGATGACGAAGGTTTAGATGTTAAGAAATGGCCATAGTCGTGATATATTTCAAAATTAGAGTTTGCTAATGGTTTGGAGGCAGGGTGTAAGAGAAAAACAGGCATCAAGAATGACTCCAGGGTTCTTGACCTGAGCACCTGGAGGGATGAATAGTGGTGTCATTTGCGGAAATGGGCAACAACTGGGGAAGAGCAAGCTTAGGTGTGGAAGAAAGAGTTCAGCTATGGACACATTAAATTTTACCTGCCTACTAGATATTCAAGTAGGGATGTTAAATAGACAATTGGTTATACCACTCTGGAGCTCAAGAGAGAAGCTGAGGCTAGAGATAATTTGAGAAGTCACCAGCATACAATTAAAGGCATGGAACTGATGACGTCACCCAGGGAACAAGGAAAGTTCTAAAGAATCTGAGAGAACTGAACCATCACTCACTTCAACCTAGAAGGTGGGAAGTGGAGGATCTAGCAAAGGAAACTGAGTTAGGATGAGGTAGGATGACAAAGTAAAGAAAGACTTCCAAGAAAGAAGAGTGAATGTGTCAAATGACTAAGATGCGGATGAAGAATTAACCAGTGAATTTGGCAAGGCAGAGGTCATTGTGACCTCAATAAGAGCAACTTCAGCTAAGCAGACAAGACGAAAGCTTAAGTGGGCTTTCAAGAGAATGAGAGGAGAGGATACGAGGATAATGACTTATAGACAACTATTTTGAGGAATTTTTCTCTAAACAGGAGGAGAGAAATAGGAGTGGTACCTGGAGGGGTACGTGGAGTTAAGGGAAGGTTTGTTTTTTTTAATATAGGAGTTATTGCTGTGTGTTCATGTGCTGATGGAAATGAATAAGACAGAGAGGGGCTAATTTTAGGAACAAAGGGCTTAAAGTTAGATGGGATGGGATCCAACATACAGGTTGAGAGAATGGCCTTTAACAGGAACAAGGACCGTTCATCCATTATTAACAGGGGAAAAGGCAGAGTATATATGTTCAGATGCTAGTAGTTTGGTAGATTCCATGTTGGAAAATGAATTGACTGGGAAATGTAGTATGATTGCCAAGTAGCACTGAGAGCCCACTTGAAGTTTAAGGTCATGCATTTAAAGATCAGTAAGCATGGGCCGGCCCCGTGGCTTGGCGGTTGGGTGCGCGTGCTCTGCTGCTGGCAGCCCGGGTTCGGATCCCGGGCATGCACCAACGCATCGCTTCTCCGGCCATGCTGAGGCTGCGTCCCACATACAGCGACTAGAAGGATGTACAACTATAACATACAACCATCTACAGGGGCTTTGGGGGGGGGGAAGATCAGTAAGCATAGTTATTTGTTTTTCTCTTGTCATCATCTGTTTTTCAAGTGCAGGCAAGAATGATAGAGGACGAAGCAAGAGAGTTAAAGACATTTGCAAGGGAGTGATTCCATTGGTGGACCATGGACTACAAAGTGAGTAAGGAGAGGCAGAAGGATATAAGGTAGTGATATATAATGAAAAATTAATAGCATCAATGGGTTAGAGGTCCCTTTGAAGCTGAAGAATTGATAGAGGGGGTACAGGAGGAATGAGTGAGCTGGAAAGATAGGACATGGTTAGAGACTGCAGTGCTCGAAATGGAGATTTTGGAAATGGTACAGCAATTGACATTATCAAAGGCTAGGGTAGTGGGTGCCTAAGATGGGGTGAAGGACCTCTTCATTCAAAGTGAGGAGGTCAAAGAACTGAGAAGCCAAGTGGATCATCCTCATGGATACTGAAATCTCCATGCACGATGACAGGGTTGGTGGTGGAGAGAAAGGCAGTAAACTACAGCAGATTCAGTGGAGTGGAGGGGAAAGAAGACTAACTAGGTAGGTTGAGGAGAGAATGACAGGTGAGAAAACAGAGTCAGTGAGTATAGACAACTCTTGACAAATTCTGCAATGAAGGAGAGCAGAAAAATAGTGGCAATGGTGAGAGCAGGAGGGGTCTGAAGAAGACATAGGGTCAAGGGTTATTTCAAGATGGAAGATTCTAGAGTATATGTGTATGCTCATGGGAGTGATTCATTAGAAAGGGAGAAATTGATGCTGTGAGAGAGAGGGGAGAACTGCAGGAACAAAGTTCTGTAGGAGACAGGAGTGAAATTCAAAGCACAAGTGGAGGATTTTGCTTTTCATAAAAAGAGCCACAATTCTTCCCTGAAATACAAGAAAAGACAGATACATTGGTGCAGATTTGGGTAAGCAATAGGTTAGTGGTAAGAAAATGAGGAAGTTCATGACTGATTGCTTCTATTTTCTAGGTAAAGTGTGAGGCAAAGTCTTCAGCTGTTTGGGGGTCAAAAGGTGTGAAGACTGGAGAAGAGTAAAGAAGGCATTTAACCATCTTCTCAGAGATTAGGAGAACTAACTTATGAGGTTAATAAAGTGGGCTTGCTGGGCAATGCCAAGCGATCAATTGAGAGTTGTGGTCATGAAATTGAAAGAAAAGCAGTCAGTATGATTGTGTGATTTTGTACAGCAAGAGTCAGCTGCTCAGGTGTAGGCAGAGGGAGGGAGGGTGGTTGGGTTTAACCAGGGTTGGGGTTTTGCCAGGAGAAGTATGGTGGATAGCCAAAGAGCCAATGAGGAGGTGGAAGATGTTGTAAGGGAGCAACTGAAATGACAGACCATAGACTCCAGGCTGATAAAGAAAAGTCAAGGAGAATATGAGATAAAAAGTGGTCAGTCAAGGGACGGGAAGTGGATAAAGAACTGTTTGGGGTGGGGTCATCAGTGAGCTGGTGTGGTCAGAGCAAAGGATGTTTATACATCAGCCCTGTTACCTTGGTGAGGACTGAGCATATAGTAAGCACTTAGTAAATGTACTCTTTGAATTCCTGCTCAATGAGTGTTTTGTTACTACAACTTTTACAATGTAATGGTAGCATTTATTGACTGACATGTGCCAAACACTGACAAAAATATCCTCCTTTCAAGGATCATTCCCTTTAGTTGGGGAGAAAGATAATGATGTAACTCACGATCTTAAGTGCTATAATACATGTAATGTTCAAAGTGGCAACCCAGAGGAAAACAATGACTAACTGTAGAGAAGAATTAAGAGGGGCTTCAAAAAGAAGTGACAGTGGGTAATCAAGCCAGCTAGGAGGTCATCAGGTGGAGAGAGGAGAGAGCGAAGCGATTCAGTTTCTCTCATTACCAGAGTCTCCATTTCCCATCAGAGTCTCTTGAGGTCCAAAGATAGGTGACTGCAAAGCAGCAGGTAAATGAAATGACAAAAGACATCTTCCTTTAGAACAAAGTGAGCTCTTGCATGCAAACCTTCACATTAGGACCCCCAGTTCTGGCTGGGGCAGGATTGCTCAGTGCCTCGGAGGGGTCCCGACACCTACCGCTCAGGGAAGACAGCCGAATCCGCGGCGGGAATCTGGTCACCAGAGACGGGGAGATCATCACGGCGGGGCTGGGAAGCAACTCGGCTTGGTGGGGCTTGTGGGGCTCGCGGAGAGCACGGGGCCCCTGGGGCTTACGGGGCTCGCGGAGCTTGCGGAGCTCGCGGCGCGCACGGGGCTCGTAGGATTTGTGGGGCTCACGGGGTTCGTGGGGCTCGGTGATCTCGCCGGACTCATCAGACTCTTCACACTCATCGGCCTCCTCGGGCTCTTCCGGTTCCTCCCGCCCCTCAAACTTGTTGTGCACGTCGAGGATCCTGAGTACTAAGGGCTTCTGGCGGGCTTCGAGGCCAGCGGATATTTCTGTTGTGTCACGCGCATCGGACAGCGCGGATGAACCCGAAAACTCTGGGTTCTCCATTGGTGCCCAGAGGCCCCGGCTGCGCGCAGCACCGATGATGGCTGCGCCACACCGGGCAGCTGTTCGCCTTCTGCGGGACAGGAGAGGGATGGGGGCCGCCCGCGCCCCGCCCCAGCCGACCCCGACACGCCCCGCCCCGACCCCCACGCGCCCCGCCCTGGGCGCCCCGCCCTCCCGGCCCGTTCTCCGGTTGCCAAGGGGACGCGCCGCGCGCCGCCTGGCGGAGAGGAGCTGGAGGCTCGTCCGCGGAGAAAGAGGGCGGGCTCCCGACCGGCTGTTCCGCGCGTTCAGGGTGAGGACCCTCGCGTGCACTCCGTTGCAGAGGCTCTGAGGCAGAACACATCGGCTTACAGTCTAGTTACAGCACCGCTCCGACTGCAGAGCCAGGTCTCTGTTAGGTTTCAGAGGTTCCGTAGCACAGGCTCTCCATAGGCCTTTGTCCCCTGTTCGTCCAGGGGGGGGATGCCGAGATTGTTAAAATTCTAAGGTCCTGGATCAGTAAGACTGATTTCCACCAGTTTCTAGTAAATGCGTGACAATAGGAAGGAGGGTTGTGGGAGGAGGGCGACACCAGTATGTCATTTGGTCCAAGCTTAACTTTCAGGAAAAGTCTCAAATTTTGGTTTTTCACTTTATTTCCACATGAAGTTCTACACGCAGTCACAAAGAAACACTGACAGGATTAAAAGAAAAATATATTCATCTACAACTTGTGTCTCATTACAGGGCACACTGTCTACTGAAGTGCACTATAAATCATTGTTTTTTTAAATCCTGTAATTATCTTGTGAACACAACTTTTAGTGCAATGTATTTGTGTGTATGTGCGTGTGTGTATTGATAGCATTGTTAGATGTGATATCTTTTAAATACAATATACCAGAATTTTTATAACTCTTTGTGGCAACCCCCCTCTCTTTTTTTAATCATTATTATTATAATATATTATAATATTATAAAAGGTATGTGGCCTGGACATCTCTCAATTTCTCTCTTTCTTTCTCTCTCTCTCTCCCCGCCCCCCACCCTTCCTTTCTTTCTTTCTTTCCTGAGCTAACATCTGTGCCAATCTTCCTTTATTTTGTATGTAGGCTGCCACCACAGCATGGCTTGATGAGTGGTGCATAGGTCTGCTTCCGGGATCCAAATCTGTGAACTCCAAGGCAGAGTACTGGAACTTAACCACTATAGCACCGAGCCACCCTCTCTCAATTTCTTGAGGAGTGCTTTCAGCTAATTTTCATGGCCATGTTGGTGTGGCAGAGGAGAAGAGCAGTGGTAGCATTTCAGTGATGTGTTTCTTTTCGAAAGAAGAGACTAGAGGTGTTAAAGAAGAAGTCATCTGCCCAAGTATGTGGTAAACCCAAGTATACTTTTTGCACCCTACTGAGTACTCCTTAGATGTTCTTTGTCTCATAGATGCAAAAAGTTAAAAGAGAAACATTTTGGATTGTGGATGTCACCTGGAATGGAACTAGAAGAGAGTGCAATGTGTGAAACAGGAAATCTGCTCCCTCAGACACACCCTGGACACCATAGACATGGGCAGTACTGTATGGAAATTCAAGAATATCTCCCAGAAACTTGGGAAAAGGAGAAATAAAGCTATCCAGAGAGAGTTTTAACTCAACATGTAAACAATTAGGGAAGAGTTACCTAAATTCACCTCAAAGAGGCAGGATGGCTCCCAAATCACTACAACTAGTCCACCCCTAAATGGAATGCCTTCAAATAGCCAAAGAATGTGTCAATCAGAAGAGGATCTTCAGCCCACAATGGCTGTACAGAAGGATATCCATGCTGAATATCTGTGTATCCTAGTGGCTGTGTTCAAAACTGCAGACGGGAGAGGGACTGAAGCCAACAGACTGGAAAAGTTACAGCCGGTTCTTCAGGCTCTCTTGAGATGGATGTTGTGGCCTGATGCCGCTATACATCAACAGATCCATGCTCACCTGGCAACTTTCTGACATGACCCAGCTTCCCAGGGAGTTGGCTCACTGGGAGAGATTAGGATCACACAGAATGCATTCTAGTTCACATCACAGCTATATATTGGCATTCTGATTTTATACACTAACCTCATGCATCTGACTTACGTTTTTTCTGGGAGAAATTTAGGAATCAATCTTGATTCTCTCTTTCCCTCACCCCCCTCCCCACCTCTAATGCATTAGCAACTCCAGTTCATTCTTCAAACATGTCTTTAGTCCATGCTTTTCTTTCCGTCTCCCATCACCATGCTGGTCTAAGCCATTGTCATCTCTCTGGATTCTGCAGTGGCCTCCCAACTGGTGTTCTGACTTGACCTACCTCCAGTCGTGATATTCTAAACTGTTTAGAATAAATCTCAAGCTTTGTACCATAAGTTGCCCCTGGATCTGGTTCTTGCCTCTCTCTCCAGTCCACTCTGGGCTGCTCCACCCTTGCTGTCTACATTCCAGCCTCCCTGTTCTCTCACATGTCAAGCTGTTTCCCATTTCAGCTCTTCCTACACCTGTCCCCACTGGCTGGAGCCCACTTCTACCCCTTTTCACATACCAGCTCTTTTCTATACTTTAGGGCTCAGCTTAAATATCACCCACTCAGAGAGGTCTTTCCAGCCCACAGTAGTTTTAAAAAATCTTCTTGCCTTTATTTTCTATGTCAGATCCTTGCTTCAACACAATTTGTAATTATTTCATCTGCTTTTTTATTTTTGTGTATGCCTCCCCAGCAGAATGTAAGCTCCTTAACAACAAGGACATTTTCTGTCCTGGTGGCTGGTGTATGCCCAGTGCTGAGCACAGTGAATGACCTTGGCTAGCTGTCATTGTTTCTGTTTTCCTGCCTAGCATTCTTTCCTGCTTCTAAAAGTAGAATCCCTCCTTTCTGTGGGGAACACATTCCATATGGTTTGAGGGGGCTAATCCTGCTCCCCTCCCCCAGTCTGGGCAATACTTCCACAAGGATTGGTTCAGAGATGAATATGTGACCTCAGCAGAGCCGATCAGTGTCCCTCTATGAGATCTGCTGGATGGCCGCTTTAAAAGAGAGGGTTCATTTTACTCTGGGATCATGAGCTATATGAATGTAGGGTTGGTGTTGACAGCAGTCCCTTGCAGAGGGAATCTGAGAATGAAGCAAAGCAGAGGTTAGCAGGGCCAAGAGATAGAAAGTCTTGTTATCTTTGAACCCCTGAATCCACCTACGCCCAGATTGTCCAGTATGATGAGCCCAAAAATATTCCCTTTTTTGGCACAAACAAATTTAAGTTGAATTTCCATCATTTTTAACTGAAAGAATTCTTGCACATTTTCTGGCACATAGTTGGTGCTCAATAAATGTTGACTAAATGAATAAATGAAAAGACAGATCCACTCAGTGTGCTAATTAAACCCATAGTTTCTGTGCCTGGAAGGCTGGCAACAGATGCCAGATTGTGGTAAGTTCTCCAAGGTAATGAATGCCACCCTGTGAGGCCTATTGGGAAGACTACCAGCCAGGCAGCCTCTTTGACAACACTCCAATTTGTCTTGGCTGAGTGCCATTTCTCGTAAAACCCCTGTGACATATACCTCTCTTGCTAGCCTGAGAACATCTCAAGTCCCTGCTTTAATCATCCTCGGCATCAAGCAGTGGCTGCCATGTTGGCACTCAGTAGCTGTTCACTGAAGGAAAAACTCCAGCCACAACACTTATTGCCAAAATGTAGAAGCTAAAATCAGAATATGAGCAAAACAAGAATGAACAAGGAAGAACAGAGATATCGTTCCCTATCCTGAAAGCTTTTGGCATCACCTTTGAAATAGGCATCCAGGAACCCACATATGTCCCTGACCACTCTAGAAAACATAAAGAGTTACTACAGAGAATCAGAGTTTAGGGCAGGGAGTAGTCTGCATTTGATTTAATCCTTTTCCAGAGTGAAGACTGAGTAAGACACAAGATGGTTAAGGGTTTTGTCCAGGGGCCAGTACATGGCAATCCTTGGGGCAGAGGCCGAAATCCAGGGTTTCTGACAATCCTGAATCATTGTGTGATCCAACCTCCAGAGGACAGACGAAAGAAGGTCTGACATTAGACACCCGAGTAGCTGTTGTGATATGATACTGTTAAACATTATCCTGCAGATCTGATAGTGAGAAAGCTAGTGACCTTAAAGGCACACACTCTAACGTCTCATCTCTCAGAGGGCAATTATCATTTTGCACATACATGCCTAAATTCAGTTATGTTCCATTTTAACCCAAAACTTGATAGAGAAGGTGATATGCTAACATTGGGAGGGGATAACCGTCTTCACCAAATTTGGTTTTTCATTTTGCCACAGATTCCAAATTTTAAAAGGAAGCATTTGCAGAACAAATTCTCTTTCCAAATCTTTTTTTTTTAACTCAAGATATTCTTAGTTTTTTTTTTAATAGACTTTATTTTTAGAGCAGTTTTAGGTTCACAGCAAAATTGAGCAGAACATACAGAAATTTCCCATATAGCCCACTCACACATAGCCTCCCTAGTTATCAATATCCCCCACTGGGGGGGGCACATTTTGTTTCAATTGATGAACCTACATTGACACATCATTATCACCCCAAGTCCATAATTTACATTAGGGTTTACTCTTGGTGTTATACATTCCATGGGTTTAGACGAATGTATAATGACGTGTATCCACCAGTTTAGTATCACATAGAGTAGTTTCACTGTCCTAAAAGTCCTTTGTGCTCCGCCTATTCATCCTTCCCTCCCACCTAGCCTCTGGCAACCACTGTTCTTTTTACTGTCTCCATAGTTTCGACTTTTCCAGAATGTCATATAGTTGGAAATCATACAGTATGTAGTCTTTTTAGATTAGCTTCTTTCACTTAGTAATATGCATTTAAGTTTCCTCCATGTGTTTTCATGACTGGGTAGCTCATTTCTTTTTAGCACTGAGTAATATTTTATTGTCTGGATGTGCCACAGTTTATTTACCCATTCACCAACTGAAGGACATCTTGGTTGCTTCCAAGTTTTGGTAATTATGAATGAAGCTGCTATACACATCCATGTAAAGGTATTTGTGTGGACATAAATTCTTAACTTCTTTGGGTAGATGCCAAGGAGCAAAATCGTGTGGTAAGAGTATGTTTAGTTTTGTAGGAAACTGCCAAACTATCTTCCAAAGTGGCTGTACCATTTTGCATTCCCATTAGCAATGAATGAGCGTTCATGTTGCTCCACATCCTAAAAAACATTTGGTGGTGTTAGTGTTCTGGATTTTGGCCATTCTAATAGGTATGTAGTGATATCTCATTATTGTTTTAATTTGCATTTCCCTGATGACATATGATATGGAGCATTTC